TGAGGAGGGAGAGGGAGAGAGAGAACTTTTTTTTTTTTTTTAAAGATTTATTTGAGAGAGGGACGCCTGGGTGGCTCAGTCAGTTTAAGCATCCAGCTCTTGATTTCGGCTCAGGTCATGATCTCAGAGTCGTGAGATCAGGCCCTGTGTTGGGCTCTGTGCTCATTCGGGAGTCTCCTTGAGACAGAGTTGATGCTCAACCGACTGAACCACCCAGGTGCCCCCCAATTGATATTTTTTTCTTTCTTGGTAAAAAAATATTCATGCATCTTAAAAAATCAGTGGTATCTTAGATTTAACGAAATATGTTACATTTCTAGATTCCTTTTTAGTAGTGAATCATTCCCTGAGTATTGTAACACATAGAACTTTTAGCATGGAGTATAATTTTTTTTTTTAATGTGTTGTTTGAATGTGTTTGCTAGTAGCTGGGGGGAGGGCAGGATTGGCCTCTAATGAGATTGGTCTATGACTCTTCTTTTTTATTAAATCATTTTTGGGTTTATCTGTTAAATTTCATTTCATAAAAGAGTTTGGAAACTTTCTGTGGATATCTTTTATTAATTTTAAGGACTATGTTAAAATATTAAGATTATGTAATCTCCTTATACTGTTAAGAGTTATAAAAGTTAAATTGTGCAGGTGCCTGGGTGGTTTAGTCTGTTAAGTGTCTGACTCTTGATTTTGGCTCGGGTCATGATCTCAGGGTCATGAAATTGAGCCCCCGTTGGGCTCCACGGTGAATGCAGAGCCTGCTTAAGGTTCTCTCTCCTTCCCCCCGTCCCTCCCCACACTGCTCGTGCATTCTCTCTCTCTCTCTCTAAAAACAAATAAGATATTTCAAAAAAAGTTAAATTGTAGAAGATGGAACTACTTACATCCATTAAGGATGCTGAGAAGAGGCTACATTTCTACTGTAAACGCATCTTGCTCTAACAAAAATGGCAAGAGAGGCTGAGTAAAGTGAGCCTGTTTATTATATAGAGATCAAATGTGTGACTTTGAGAAATGGATCAGAGAAAATCACTTGACTTTTAACACAGAGAGGAACTTAACTCTTGATTATAATGAGAACCTTAAAATATGACGCACCCTGAGTCATTTGTGTATAAATGTAAAATAGGCAAAGAAATCAGAAAATTGGCCCCTCTTCCATAATCTCCGGAGACAAGTGATAGTAATTTCTTAAAATTAACTATGTTTTCTGGGTGTAGTTTAGGTAGAGAGTAACATTTCTATCCACTAGGATATCTGTTAAGTTAAAAGATATGTTCAGTTATTCAGACTGACTTTTTTTTTATCTTTTTTTTTATTGTGTTATGTTAATCACCATACATTACATCATTAGTTTTTGATGTAGTGATCCATGATTCATTATTTGCGTGTAACACCCAGTGCTCCATGCAGAACGTGCCCTCTTTAATACCCATCACCAGGCTAACCCATC